AACTAACCGCCGCCGCTGCCCTTAGCCTGCGCTACATGCGGTACGTACTCTGCTGTTGGGACGACTACATGCCTTTGCCTATTGATGCTCTACATGTAGTATCGTCTGCTCTCAAACTCAAAGTTACTGCACCTCTAGCACCTAGCGCTGTGATCACTAACCACCGCGACAATACTCGGCAGGTCTTGCGTTGCTTTTTACCCCATGGTCTTCCTGTCTGGGGTAACGAGTCTGTCGCTTACCCGCCTGCATCACGGCCTGCTTGACTGCCTGACTGCTATAGCTGAAGCTACCGACGACCCGAAATGTCGTGCTCGTCCACCAACCACGACACGATAGCACACACCAAACCCCCACGGCCGCCTCACAAGCCTCATTTCCAACTCCTAACTTCCGTCAGTTGCATATTCGAAACATGCAGCCTGTCCCGTGACGGGCACCGAGCACCGGAGTCTTCTCATACCGCAACTATGTCTGCCCTACCCAAGGCCAGCCATCCTTGCAAACGTCACGCCCGGCTCGCTTCACGTCGTGAGCGCTCGTTTCATTGGACCCTGCAGCAGCTCATTCTCCCACGTCGTGCTCAATGAGGGATCCCGCCCTACACCAGTCCCAATTTCATCCCACTTGCTGTGTCACTCCAGACACCTCATCACCGCCCCAGCGAAACACGTACCAAAGACGTCGTCCCGCGGATTACGACGTCTTCGAAATATCACCGACGGTACGCGCCTGCACTCGTCATGCTTATGCTGACTGGCCTCCTCGGCGAGGGCGGAATCCGTTGGGGCGCGGCTCTCCCGCTGTCGCTTGTATACAGCACCACCGCCAAGCGCTATTGGCGGAAGGCACAACCGGTGCAACTTCCGACTTGCGAGCCAGACACACGGCTGGGTGGCGACGTCACTCACTCTGCCCATCCATCGCCATACGGCCCCAGCCCTGAGATGCACCTCGTCTCAGCTCTCGTTGCCAGCCACCAACCCAGCGTTCTTCCGCCACGCACGGTACCGTCAGCTGAATCGTCGCTCCCGACCCGAGACGAGCGCATCTTGGTACAACTCTTGCAGTAAGTGTGGCGAGCGACGCATCGTCAGATTCACGATGCCCCAAGATCGCATCAGGACTCCAGCCCCAATCCTGGCTAGCAGCCTTCACCGCCAACTGCCGCCGTGACGTACCCGGTATAACAACGTCTGCTATCCGGTAGCGCACGACTGTGCATCATCTCCTAGGCTGCTTCCAGATGTATTGCATCTTCCGATCTTATCAATGTTCAAACTGCACCATGGCTCTTTTCCGCCGGTTCACAGTACCATGGGAAGACACTCTGGGGTAACGGCTACAACGGCTACAACTCCAGACAAGATCACTGTCATGCCAATTGCGGGGTAAAAAGTAACTCTGGTATCCAAGTACGTCGACGTAGACTGACCCGAACATCAAGCGAACGTTCTGTACCAACATCTGTGACGACTCCAGCACGCAGGCATGAAGCCAGCGCATGGCACACGCAAACGCCCCAAACGCTCCCGGAATCGGATCCATCAGTGTCCAACGTTGCGACACTACGTGGTTAGAAACGGCCCTTCATCATGTTCACAATATGCGCGTCATTGCTTTTGGCGTCAGGCACGCCTACCCCAGGGGACGAATCGCAGACCATAGCAACCCGTGCTACTATCGTCTAACGTCAGTAGTCTAATTCACCTCGCTTAAAGGCTCAGCTCTCGCTGTCACGTTGTCGACAATGCAACACCAAGCAACACGGATAATGACTTATCCCACTCGGTAGTCGCAATTTTCATGAAATTGTCCGAAACATGATCGCTTGTGGCGCCTCACACGATGTCTCGAACCCACACTGCACTGTCTAATACGTTGTATCCGCCATCTCCACACCTCCACCTGCAGCGCCATGCATGATTTCAAGCTTCAACGCTAGAACCTCTAGCGCGGGCTCGGTCCTTTCTTGGGTCACGTTATCGGGCCGCTACCATACACGCAGAGCACATTCGGCAACAGCCAGAGATCAAATGTTGACGTGAACAGATGTGCAGCATGGATTGACATCGGAATACCGATTCTAGATTCTCCGACTATGCAATCGAAGGATTCCGGCCCTAGACAGCTGAGACGTTGTGATGTTGTGTTCGGTCAAATACATCATCTTCGGCCCTACATCCATGGGCAACACGAGCGCACGATCAGCCTTGTGACGTCAACCTCGACAGGATGAATCGTTCCTCTAGGCAGCTGAACCTAACGCTGGCGAACTGCTCCGCGAACGATGTTGTTAGAGGCGATGGGATCGAGCATGGCCGACCTTATCTACCTGATCGGCAATATGCTAGTAATAGCTTCCTCCCGCACTTCGGGATAACTACATCCAGTGTGTTGATATGCGAGCCCGCGCGTCACTGTCGCGCATGTGTGCGGCGTGGCATATGTCATCCCGCCAAACCCTGGCTTTTGTGACGAAAGATGCAGCACTCATCAGTCGATGCTCCTCGGAACCGCAATCACATTCCAGAGGGACTGACCTTCCGAAAAGGTATACTATGGGAATTTGTACTCGACGATCGTTCAGGCGTAATGTGGCAGGTCCGGCTTGCTTTACCCGGTGGGATGCACGTTGGAAGTGAATCATTTGTATTGGATGATCGTCGATATCGTCAGGCTTCGTGAGTAATGCTGTGTACATGACTTCTTTCGCTCACCCTGATGGTCACGGACTGCTCTTGACATCAGAAGACACGTGTGCTCATTACAACACCCGATTACCTCTTGCCCTTCGATCCGTCAACAACGACAAACGGAGATGCTTATCTGTGTGGAACGACCATACGCGCAAGAGACCCATTACGACCGAAGTACTACCAGGCGACGATGCTACAACAACGATGAAAATGTGTCATAAGGACATGTCTTCATCTCGACATAGGGGTATTCTCAGCCATCGTACACGGCATTCCGGTATTCGGAGCTTCGAAAGCACGGCCAACATTCCTCAACGCCATTCTCTAAATGGACATTTTCCAGGTGCATTGCTCCGTATACTTCCTTCAGCATCTCGTCTCCGCGTAGCCTCGTTGAGTATTTGCTACATGGGCCTAAGATGTGCGAGCCTGGTCAAGACTCCAAACCCGGATTGCGCTTGACCACAAACGCATTTTCACGTGGGATCCTCATCCTCAGCGTACGACTCGTCGATACTCTTCGTATTCCATAATAGTAGACCTTCGAAGCTACCATCAACCCAACGGTCTGGAGCAGATTCTTTAACCGTCGCGCGCCTTCAACTTGCCTTTGCAGTTCTGCTTTGCCTTGGCAACGACTAAGCTGGGAGTACTATCTCATCATTCCTACAATTCGAACGTCTCTTATACACACTATCCGCAGGCCGCCCTCTCTCATTTCTGCCACGACATCCCACGGCATCATTGTTACATTCATTGCAGAGACTTTCTGACATCGCTCTTGCATAATCTCCGCATTCACCGCGCTGTGTGACTGTCGCGAGCGTATGCTTTACATGTCACGACGGGTGCAGTCCTTCGTTGCCCACTCCTTGAGTGTTTTGATCACTCCAGCTTAGCATCAATGTAGCATCGATTACTGGGAGAAAGATCGAGAAGCGATAAGCCCGTCCGCAAGTTACAAGCATCTACTACTGAATATGAAGTCGCTCGATCTCCGCAAGAAATGTCAACGCTCGATATCTCGCCATCTTTTTCTAATTTGATCGAATACCATGCTATCATACCACCAAAAGGAAAACTCACTGTTCTCCTCACGTTATTCCACACAGCGAACAGTTCAGTTCTGGAAGAGAGAATGATGCTTGGACGTCTGTGCAGCTCCCCCACGCTTCTATCAAGATATTATCAGTCGCATAAACGTCCCAAATGAAGTCAGTCGCACTAGCCTCCCAAATAGAACCTCTCGCTGGTCCATCTCGCTCCCCCTCGATCGATTTTGCCTTTGGCCAGTCGCCATTCGTTTTATCCCACCGAGTTCTGGGATCTAACTTCCGTTGAGCTTGTATCTTCACGATTCTCCGTTGCCTGTCGCAGTCTGTCTCAATCCTCCAAGATCCGGGTTCCAGAACGGGTAGAAAGGGGTGTCTGTGCATCGTCATGTTTGACCGGAATTCGAGCTTTGTACATTCATGTATCCTCACGTACGACCGGAATACGAGCGGTGTATATGTCCAGACAACGCTACCAATGAAGATCAGGGTAAAAATGAGACGATAAATAAGATGCTGATTCAATTCCTCTCTAACTTCCAGACCCAATCCGGTGACCGGAGTTCGCAAATCCCTTAACTGGTTCATAGAGCTTTGGCCAAACTTCTTGGGAATTCCGTCGTACACGTCTGTTTCGTGATCCAGGATCTGACGTTTCTTGGTACGGCTGTCGCGCGCAAAACCCCATATCGAATGAGCCAAGCGACTAGCCGAGGGTAGCATGGTATCAGACTGCGAGTAATGTATAGAAGTGTGGCATTTTGAACCTCGAAGCGGTGCGACGCGGACAGTCGGGCAATCGAAATCCTGGATGACAAATTCAACATAGTCAAGACAGGACATTCTGTAGAATGGTACAGCGAATCTCCAGTGGCCGCGCCTAGACGCATCTCCATATCGACTCTCCAGTTCCTGCATCAAACTTCCGTTTGTCTTCAACCGTGAAAGGTCGACTTCAACCAGTATTGTGGTCTTCCCTCGTAGCGTTATACAAAGCTCCAGTGTGGGAGTATCCAGAAAGCGGGCGAGCTTGTCCTCAATTGTTCTGATGGCATCGAGTGCACCGGACGCTGATGGCCGAGAGAGAGGCCGCTCTTCAAGCATGTTCAAGACCAGTCCTCTGAACTTGTTGCTGAAGAATCCCAAGCCATCACGAACTGGACCAGCTGAACCCAGGTGGTCTTGTAGAATCCCATTGACTAGGTCGAGATTGTTCGCGAATTGGCAACTCTCCGTACCCATCGCTGCATCATATACGTTTAGGAGGGTCGGCCAGGGTCTGAGTATACTTTCTATCAAAGCGAAGCAACATCCAAGAGAAAAGATGTCAGACGCCAGAGTCGGGTCCAGGTTCTTGATTTGCTCCGGCGCTTTGTATTCATAAGTACCAGTATTTGCGGTCGTAGCTCCATCAATGTGCTCTTTGCTGATTCCAAAGTCGATGATTATAGGACGGACTTCGAGCTTTCCAAAGCGCTGAACTTCAGCATAGAGGAGGATGTTATGGGGTTTGATGTCCTTGTGCCGAATGGGATTTGGCTGCTGGCTGTGAAGGTAGACGAGGCCGCTCAGACACTGTCGCACAATACTCGGCCAGGGGTCTAGTTCCTGAGGTTTGAACCAGGGGCACATCGTCGAAGAGCCGGACGAGTTCGTGAGATCCTGGATGAAATGATGCAGAGATACATGCGCCCATGGCTTTGTTACGAGGCGGATAGTATGCAGCATCTGATGGCCCGGAAGATCAATAACGAAAGCGTCCTCAAGTTCCAGAATGTTGGGATGCCGGAATTGACGCAAGAACTTGATCTCTTGGGCAGCCATCAGTTGATCCTTCGCCGACACAGTTTGCATCTCTTTGATTGCGAAAATCTGTCCCTTGCCCACGAGGCGCTTCGTTGTCGCTCTATAGACCGTGCCATAGGAGCCTTTGAAGGAACCCCATGAGTCGTCTCGTACGTAGGGAACATCCTTGATAGAGTTGTATGTGGTCACTCCTGCCGAGCGGAGATCTTCGCAAAGGGTCATCGGTCTGATGCACCTTGGATGAAGTTTATCCACTCATCGCTGGTTGGTATTGTAATGTCGAAGAGGTGATGAGCGGGACCCAAACGCGAAAGGCTTAAGGCAGCAGCTTCTTCCATCGAAGCTTATTGGCTCGCTCTACTGGGGAGCCATAGCAAGCAATCGACATCATCATGCTTTTGTGGCTGGTCGCGTTGGCTGCGATTGGCGGTTGCTCCGGTTAAACGCACCAACCGGAATGACAAGGCTGAATGGACTGGCGTGCGACAACACACACAAGGCTGTCTGAAAAGCAAGAGTGAACCGCAACAATGCGAACATTACAAATGACGCGAACCAGCAGTAAAGATAGTCAAAAGAGACGTCTAACGCAGTCATGACTTTCATACTGAAGGCTAGCTCAACTCAACGATCCGGATCAGCGTCCCCAATCTCCCCACGCGGCTTCCTCTTCCCTTTCCCCTTCTTCTTGGCCCCTTCAGCCTGCAGCACCGTCCCCTCAGCAGCAGCGGCGTGCGCCCTCTCAGCCATCCTCCCAATGAGTGCCTCCCTCGCATCCGCGTTCTCCTTCCTCTCCGCCCCCAACCAATCAAACACACCCTCCACATCCGTAAACTGCATAAACCCACCCTCTCTCCACGCATCCCCATGTATCTTCTTCCCCGTCTCATTATCCATCTCAGCAGTCTTTTGCGAACTAAGCGCCCGTCCCCAGCGACAATACACCAACCCCTGCGTAAGCATCCTCATCCTCACACCCATATTCTTGTACTCTCCTTTCTCGTAGACGGGATTGTTAGGGGTAGACGAACCAACCTCCCACCCACCTTTCCGATACGCAGTCACCCCATTGAAACATAGGATCTGCGTCAACGCCGTATCACCCCTCGCACGCTTCTTCTCAGTCTCACTCAACGCATCACGCCGCTTCTGTTCATCCTCGTCTACGTCTTCGTACTTATTCCGCATATTTCTTTGTCGCATGGAGGGGTCGTTCCAACATTCCATAATCGATGAATCATAGTTATCTTCTTTGAAGAGCGGGACGTGGTGGTATGCTGTGTGTGGGTCGAGGTGCATGTGCAGGGAGAGGAGGCCGGCGGAAACGACGAGGTGGCGGAGGGGGTTGAATATATCTTTGAGTGTCGGAGGGGGGATAGGGAGTGGTGTGGAGGCGGGGTACGTAGGTGGGCAAACTAGGGAGAGGAGGGGCGAGAGATGTATCCATAGTGCTCCGATGATGGTGTTGACGTGCGCGTTGAAGTTGTGCGGGAGGGATGTAGAGGTGGGGAGGTGGGTGAGGATGGTTGTTGCGTAGTGGGCGTTGCGGGTGAAACCTATGGTTGTCAGTTCGGAGTCTTCCATCCCCTCCACTTCACCCAAACTTACCATCCTCATCCTTCCCCTCCCTCTGCACCTTGCTCAAAGCTGCCACACCCTCCTCCCCTCCCCCAAAAAACCCATGCTGCAAAACCTGCTCACTTAACACATTCCCAATCATCGCACAAACCAATGCACGCAATTTCTCTTTGTTGACAAAAAGATCGTGCCATCCCCATAGTCCGCTCGGCCCTCCACTCGCCACACAGTTGATTAGTTTCGTTGTCTCTGGCGCTAAACTCGAGAACCACTCTTTCTTTATCAACACATCCGCATCGCCATCCCCATTCTCGTCTGTGGTGGTGGTGGTGGTGTGGGAAGCGTGTGCACCGGATGGAAAGTAGGCTTTTGAGAAATCTTCGACAGAGGACATGAGCGACCATAAACCGTCGCGGATTTCGGCGTCGCGGAAGGCGTACAGTGGTTCTGAAGGTAGTTCTGCGCGGATAAGGCGCGGTGAAGAGAGGAGTTCGCGGGCGCGTAGGTTGGGTTGCTCGGACCATTTGTCGGCGGGTGTCTGTTCGTGCCAATTCCGAGGATATTCGAAGCCTGGGGGGTGGGTTGGATGGGTTGTGGGGAGGGGGGACGTCATTGTGTGTTGGGATGGTGGTTGTGATTTTGATTGTGGTGATGGTTGTGATGGTGTGATGCTTGGTTTGGTGGGTAGAGGTGAAGGTGAGGGTTTGGCAGGTGTAGGCCGTGTGATAGTCGCTGATCCAACAGCCCCAGCCCGTGGTCTAGGTTGTTTGCCAACAGGTGTGTGTTTGAGTCTGTCTACTTCGATCTCGCCAGTACTAGTCACGTCTAGCCCGGCCGACGAAGTGGTGGGAGAAAATGATAGTTGCAGGTCGTCGTCGCTGCTGGACCAATCTATCTCATTGAGGATCTCGTCTTCTTCGTTCTCGGTCTCGCTGCCTGTGCATGTTGATGGCGACGGCGACATCGCTAGATGCGTGCTTGTACTCGCCAGCGTCTTCCCTGCTTTGTCGTGTGTCTCTGTCTTACTAGCCCTACTACCTGTCCCACGCGCTTCAACCGCGTTGTACAAATCGCGCGAAAGTTTGCGTACGGATTTGGGAGTCGCATTCGGCCGAGCTTCATCATCTCCATCATCATCCTCTCCAATCTCAACACCAGCTTCAAATTCAGCTTCGTCTTGAAGTTGGCACGCTGCCGCTACCTCCTCATCCAGCTCATCCTCATTCATCTCATATCCATCATCTCCATGAACCTTCACCGTACCCGCACCAGCGTAAACCGCATTCTGGTATTCCTCTGGATCATACGCGTCTCTCTTCCTCTTGCCGCCCGAGCGCGCTATATCTGTATCTGGATCTGGTAAATTACGCTTCTTGGGAGGTGGGTGTTTACCGGGCGAACTGAAAAGGTTGTGGAGGAAGGACATGGTGCGCGGCGGGGCTACGTGCCTGATTCAGTCGGTGATGTGAAGATGCGCGCTGTGCCTAGTATGGTAGATTAGCCTTCCGGAAGGGTCAGTCGCATGAACGCGATGGCTTGCGTCAGCGGCTCTTGTATGTTGTATGGCTATGGTGGTTGCTTTGTCTTTGTTGGTGCGGGACCGCATCCGGCAGTTTGTGGGAGCGTGCAGCCGGATGGAGGCTTGCGATTGCTTTTGCGCGGGAGCAACAAAGACACCAAGAGGTGTTTTCGCGGTATCTTTGCGGTGCAGCGCAACAATGGGTGTCTTTGACGTGGTGATTGCCTATTGTGTTGGGAAGTTAGAGTTAGATCTGGTGAGGGTAGATGCATGCATCGCATCGTCCTGGCTCAGTCGTCTTCGAGCTGTCAGATTAGCAGAGGGGGACACAGCAAAACAGTTCGAAAGCCATTGAAGGAGGAACCACTATCATTACCTCTGTAGAGTAAAACCCGCTATGCTAGATACGCCTGGCTCGATAAGTAAATGTAGAGCGATGATGCAAGGAAACGCTAGATGACAAAAATAGACAAAGAAACTTGAATTGAGTTTATCACTTGGGTGGTGGTGTAAAGTTCTTGTAGAAACAAGAACATAACGTGCTCTCAATCTGAGGCTTAAGCTTGACGTCGTCGCCTGACGAGCTCGTGCAAGCTGGTACTCCTTGTCCACCTGCTACGCTCTGTTCGATCTTGACGGCTATTTTAAGTTAATTGTTGTACGTAGGATGAGAGCTGTCAGGTTTGCTTACCATATGGCCACGCCTTGTTAGCGACCTTCCCCACTGCGATCGTGTCGTCGGGGTACGTTTGCTGCATCTTGGTGTATAAGATGCCCTGCATGTTTGTCGCACCGTAGTCGCACTCGAAGTCGCCTCTCTTTCCTCCAAGGCTTCCAGTCATGTTCACAGTCTTAGAGCGCGTGATCTGGAACCGGTATCGCTCCGTGTCCTTCCCGGCGTCCAAAAGCTCGAGGTCTTCGTTCTGGAACGTCGTGTCGAATGTGTCGTCCTGCTTGCCCGAAGAAATCTTCCAAGACCCTGCGGATCCGCTGATGTCCCAGTTCAGAATGGTGAGGGCTTTCTGTTGGTCGTCGTAGTAGTTTGTGTTTGGTGGGCATGTCCAGGTGTCTGCGTCTGAGGTGCAGTCTGTTGTGACAGTGTCGAGGAAGAGGACAAAGGACCAGCTTCCGACGGGGAAGTTCGAGGGGACAGCGGAGGGTGTGGAGGTGGTGACTGCAGATGGGGGATCGTCGTCGGTCGTGGAGGGGGAGTCGGAGTTGGAGGCGGGCTTGCTATCGGTGCCTGCTGGTGTCGTTGAGCCGCCTGTGTTCGCTGCGGGTGTGCTGCTATAGATTGTCAGCTAGATCCTTTGGATGTCAGCATGCAATTGCTTTACCTCTTCGAGTCCTTCTTCAGTCCCAATGCGAGTCCAACGCCCAATGCCACGATCAGCGCAATGATCAGGGCGGCGACCACGGCAAGCTTCTTCCATCCCCAGGCAGCACATCCTCTCTGTCTCCGTTGCCGTACGTGTCCAAACTTCTCCTCATCCCGATCACTCCACACACTGACACTGAGATTGCTCCCATTGTGCATGTCCTCGCTGCTTTCCCTCGGCGTGAGTAACCGGCCACCCGTCAAGACCGATTGGATGAAGCCGGGCTTCTTCTCGACCCTGTGATGTTGTACTGGTCCGACATGCTGATGCGATGGGTCGTTGCAGAATGTGCTTTCAGTGGTGACGCTGATTTCGGCGGCCTTGGACGAAGCCGACTTGCCTCGTTTGGCGTCGAGGATTACTGAGAGACGTTGGCCAGCCGGCGTCGAGATGCGCTTTGCCGGCCGGTCGTCACCGATCTCGTAGTGTGCCTTTGCGCGCTTGGAGCGATAGAAGTTCATTGGATCGGAGGCTGTGGGCTATATTGCTTGTGACTCGCGGTGTATGGTGTTCTGTGTGTCAAAAGAAAGCGTCCAAGTTCTCCTGACTGCAGTGGCTATCGCTCTGCGGGTGGCTTGCCGCTATATCGCGCGCTATAGCCTGGGAGCGTAGGGATGCCGATGACGAAGACGATGGGGGTAGGGAGGTGAGAGGAGGAAGATAACAGGAGCCTCCCTCCACGGCTGTCAGGCGCGACGTACCCGCCTGAGCCATGACAGCTCTTGAAAGCTTGTACGAGACGGAATCTTGTTGACATGATCCTCCTCAGGCCTCGAGCGTATGGGGCCTGCGCGATATCACACGCTAGCGACCGTTATAGTATCGAAGTAAACTCCAACGGGCTAGGGGGTCACCCCATTCTCCTGACCATCACTCATGGAGCTGGTTCTCGGTGGAGCCGCACGGTGCTGCGTCGGGAACGGGTGCGCCATGCATGAGCAGATCATGAGAGCTTCGCGGGAGCTCTTATGCAGACAGGATGATGGCGTGCTTGACATCTGGGGTTCAAGAGACAGAGATTCCGTGGGCTTGAGGCAGTCTCAACGCTCTGCGAGTGATGTCGCACGAGTGAAGTTTGTTGGTAGTCCCGTTGGTAGCTCGTTTCGCGGGCGATGTTTGTTTTGCTGAGTGATTAGGGGTTGCACGTCGCACGTCGCTAAATTCGGAGCCTGTTCCTGCATTCGGCCCAGGGATCCGGGTCCGAGGGATTTTGCTGCCAAGCTTCGACTCACCTCACTCGACTTTCTTTCACGTGCTTGCGTGTATACACCGTGGGTACAAGTGGCGATACTCACCACGCGGAAGATACCTGGATAGCGATAGTACAAGACTGTCTGACTGTCATGTCTGATGAGGAGCAACGCTAGCTGTCAAACGCGCTTTCCTCTTGGGCCTCACGCGCTTTCTTCACGCGCTCTCACGCTCACCGCGCGCTTCACCGACGCGTCACAAGCTGCAATCGCGACTGCCTCAATCATGCTCTCGCCTACCGTGACGTTTGCACACCTGCGCGCACTTCACTCGAAAAATCCTTTTCTAGCTTCCTGAACGCCCTGACTCCAGCATCACCGTGCAGCCACTTCCTGGTTCTTAGCAGCCCCTCAAGCTGTATAGCAATTCAGCAACCATCATCAGCATGTCGGCCAATCGAGTTAAGGTGCGCCTTGTCCCCGGCTGCTCCGACGGCGATCCTCTCCATGTGCCTCCCCCAGGAGCTCATACCCAGCTTGACCCACCGACTCTGTATCTGGAGAAGATCGGGCAACAATGGATGGAGAGTCGAGGTGAGGCTAAGCCGGGTGTGCATTACATCCTAGAAGACCTTCCCTTTGGTTATACTCTCTGGCATCGCCCGCGACCTTCGAAACCAAGCCATTTCGACAAGTACCTATACGGTCATCCTGGCAAGAAGGCATTCGACTCCCCGAACCGATTCTTCCCGCATTTTCTGCATCTGATGAACAACAACGGCAACAGCATTGGCTGTCCATGTACACTCTGCAGCGGAAGTGCTGGCGTGCTTCCAAAGACTTCAGCCAACAGCTCGCAGACACGCACGCCGAGCGTAACGTCACGGAAGTCATCCAATTCATCTATTCCTATGCAAAGCCGGCCTTCCAGTGCCCACAGCGTCCAATCGCTACCAGTCGCACCGCCGCCTAGTCTGGCACCACAGCACAAAGGTCGGCCAAAGAAGATAACTCCGGGTCTCGACACGACGAACGTGGACAGCGAGGGCACTCCCGACGTCTACAGGAATCTCATCGATAAGCTTCGCCGGCATCGCGATGTGGACGAACCCATCCTCGAGCCACTGAGCCCAGACTGGCGCGCGGAACAAGACCATCTTCCAAAGTTCCTCAACGATATGAAGACACAAGACCAATGGGTTCCGCGAACTGGAGACATTGTCCTGTACATACGCAACATGCCTGACACCGTTGAATTGGTACGAGACAACACCACCGGCGAGCTTCAGCTGTATGACGAGCGACGCAAGCAGCATCTCGGTAAGCCTCAATGGGCGGCAGGTCTAGTCACTGAGCCAGCTACTGGTAAAACGGTCGCCGAGCTTGTCGCCTCTGCCGAGGAGCGCAATGTTTCCAGCACAGGCGTACGCGTCGAACCAGTCCCGAATCCAAATGAGTCGGACAAGTCGCTCTCTAAGAGACACAAGTACGTGTTGTTGCGACAGACAAGCCCGTTTATGATGTGGAGGGACCTCTTGCGCCGGATACCCCAGGAAGAATGGCATGATACCGTTAAGAACGCCCTCGCCCTGATGTCGACGCTCTCTCTTATGGGCAAGTATCGGTTCCGCGGATCTTGGCCTAATGCGAGCATATACTGCCATGGCATCTACGTCGGCGCCGAGATGCTCGCGGTAGGTGACACAGTCCGCCTCCTTCCCAACAAGCAGTCTGGTCAATCTGGGTGTACGGACATCATGAGCATCAAATCGATTCGCTTGAAGTGGACCAACTTGGACAAGGCATCGGACAACGACTATGATGAAGGACGGCCGTATAATTCCGAGATATGGATCTATGGCTCAGCGTACACCAGCGACGGTTCACGATCTAACAAGCAATGGGTGACGGAGCATAACGTCGAAGCTCCGAGAGTGGCCAACGACTATGCGGACTGGTATCCATTGCACCCTGCTGACAAGGAGCTGGCTATCCCCTACTCACGCGTCCTTGGCCGTCTGTATGAGCAGGACGCCCTGGCTTACTTTCTCAAATCCGATCACGACCCTCCCGGACTTGACCTTGGTAGACAAGCTGTCACTGAGGCACGCGCCTTTGCTCGGAAACACGACAATCGCATAGCAGCAGAGTCTGATGCCACCTGGTATTGGGGAGACGACCGGGCTGACGCCCTAAACCTCCGCACCATCAACGGTCTCGACGTGTCGCGCTACGACCTCGACCGCGATGTTAAAGATCTTCGCCGCAAGTACCGCCAACTAGATGGTATCGCCAAAGGAGACGCGAAGCCTACAGGTCAAGATATACTCGAAGGCAGGGGATTGCGTACCTTCATGGCGCCAGCTTTGCCACTCCGCACGAGCGGCGCGAAGGCACCAAGCGAAAGTGGAAGCTCGTCCATCTCCATCGCAAGTGCCAGTCAAGCCTCCCGAAAGCGCACGCACATCGTCGACCTGGACGACGAGGATGATACCGAGGAGGACGACCTCGACGAAGAGATTAGAGAGCACACTAAAGTCGTGCAAGATGACCGCCAAGGCCCGATGAAGAAGAAGGCGAAGGTGATGGTTGTTATCGACTGAAGAGCGACTGGGCGCATATGAACCCGACAGGCATGGTCTGTCATGAGCGATAAGGTTCGAAGATGATACATGGCATATGCCCTTTATGGCGAGAGAAATTATGTTACAGCGGACTCGGATACGATAGTAGAGACGATAGCCGAACTTTCTTTTCACGACGGCGGGCATGGAGGATCACTGTTAATACCCATTTACTGCGACATGATCGAGTAATTGCATGTTAATGTACTACACCAGATTTCCACGACCTCATGGCAGATGCCAACACTGGCTGATTAGCTGCTACAATACCAACACATGATAGATGTCTTCTTTCGCCTTCCACATTGATGGTTTACTCACGCAACAGCTCAAAGCGCATAGTTCACCCCCACCCTCTCAAACTTCTCAACATCCACCTCATCAAGTTCAATATCACTCCCGACCCCCAACTCCACCTCATTATCCCCCCCAAGATACGCTTCTTTACTATGCGCCGCAGCCTCCATCTTACGTTCGCCCAGGATTGCTTGTCTCAGAGAAGCATCGATTGCGAACTCCGTAGTTTCAAGAAGTGCTTGCGCACTGATGATTGAAGACATGATGGGGGCCCGAGCGGCTAACAGCAATGAGGCGTAGTACCAACAGGTAGTACAAAAGAGTCATGAACATGAATCACACCGAGGGTGACTCACTAGAGCAATAAAAGTGTTGGACGGCGCGAAGAACTAATTTCATTACACGACATGGAGAACGTCAAGATTTACAAGCTCGCTAGCGAATGCGACAGCCTCTTTCGGAAGGCCGTGCCAGAAGCCGCTCTACCCTCGAACGCGCAACTGCCACTACACGGTGCTCTTGTTCATTGCCAGTCTCGATTCGACACTTGGACTGGCTACACGAATGCACTGGAAGATGGCGAGATATCGTTAGACCAACAACTGGAATTCAGTCCGGACTTACACAATGCTGTGGTCGGTCTGCTGGGACTGATAAGGACCAGCTTACAAAAAGGCAAGACATCGCATTGCATTACCAATGAAGCCGTGACTGACATAGAAAGACCTGGTATCTGGCTGCGAGGCGCAAGAACTGAAACTATCGCGATCCGATGAATATCAGGCTGCGAAGTACAGGGTGCTACAAGCGATCCCCCCGTCATTAACACGGATATATCTGACAGCCATCCACGAGGCTATCGACATTCTGCAAAGGATATCAGATACCAAAATAAGAGATGAAGAAGGCTTCGACAGAGTTGCGGCTGCAGTCGTGAAAGGCGCATACCCTGATCTGCCTGAGACACTAGTTCAACAGCTAGGCTCATCTATCGCACGCAGGCGCGCTCGCCTACTCCGTCAGAGGAAGCATCAGCAAGACCTTGACGTTCAAAGACAACAGGGTGATGATGCACAGGCTGTGGCGGCCGAGGACACCAAAAGTGTCGCGCAGCCACAAGATCGGATGGTGGCTGCTCTGGACAAGTTGTCTGACGCCGAGCATCCAGTCGTGGAGCCGAAGAAGTTATCGGCTGATGCTTCGGCTCATCAGAAGGTCGAATCCGGCACCACTACAGCATCCTCAGCAGCCCAGTCATATCCTTACCCGGAACCTCCGACGCCATTAGAAGATTTCGATCACGTCCGATGCACTTGGTGCTTTAAACAAATCAGAGCTGGGGATCCTCAGCGTAGAGGATGGTGGGAGTATGTTGTCCATGAAGGCATCGCGTATTGTATGGACGCAAGCTTACGATAAGCAGATCGCACTTCGACCAAGACCTACAGCCCTACACATGCATCTCCGAAACATGTCAGAAGCCACCATTGTACTTCGCTAGCATGTACAGATGGCAGGACCATATGAAAGAGATGCATACCGCCTATTGGACTGAAAATATCCACAGATCTAAGTTTCGGTACTGCGACCTGCATCTAGACGAGCAAGGACATGCAACGCTCGAGAGATTCCAAAGTGAAAAATCTCTCCGCCAGCATCTGAAGGACGACCATAGGGATCTTTCGTCGTTGGAGGTCGATACTAAGGTCCGACGGAACACTAGGCGCCCATCTCGATCGCGGGATATTTGCCTTTTCTGCGGCTTCGACGCTGGCGCCAAAGTAGATACGGACAGTGAATGTGGAGCAGCAATGGAGTCGAGCACCAGGTATGCTGGACTTAGAGCGCGGAAGGCTAGAGATTTGGCCAGGCTAGTACTCTGGAACCACATTGCCCAGCATCTCAAGAGTCTCGCTTTCATATCGCTGAGATGGTGCGAAGATGCGAAGGTCGATGGCGAGGGGAGTGATGTCAAGTCGAATGCTGCGCGGAGGGGAGGGTCTAGTGAAGATGGGGAAGCGGCATCGGTGGCGGGGTAGTGAACCCGGTCGTACTAGGCCGATCAGACAGCCTTCAATAGAGTATTACATGAGCACTAAGCGTCAATGTGCCGCTTGATAGAATCATGACTGCGAGAGTCGAAGTACAGGAAGACTGCGACAGACAGACAATTAGGCCGATACGTACGGTAGCGCGATTACTCAACATGTTGTTCCGAGGTTCCGAGGGACGCGTTGCGCGTCTTCCCCGCATCGAAGCTAATCATGCAACCAGCACCAGCTTACAAGCTATGCACATCAAGCTTTCGGTAGTAGATAACTTACTATCTATATCCACAACAAGATGTGAGAACAAGTGACGCGACACTGCACCCAAGAAGCCGTCTCCTCCTTCACCATCACCATCATGTCCAAGAACACCACCAACAAACCCGTCATCGCCGTCGTAGGCGCAGGCCCAGGCATCGGCGAAGCAGTAGCCCACCGCTTCGCATCCGAAGGCTTCGTTGTCGCGCTCCTTGCGCGTACAGAAGAAGCGCTACAAACCATGGCCGCGAACATCAACAGCGACGTGGGTACCGGGACGGCGCATTACTACATCACAGACCTACGCGTCGAAGACACAGTAACATCGTCCTTCAAGCGCATCCGCGAAGAGCTAGGCCCCGTCAATGTACTTGTTTACAACGCTGGCGCGCGCCGCGTAAACGGGCGTTCGCTCATCGACACGACCAGCGAGGAATTCGAAAACTTCACCAAGATTAACCTGTTCGGCGCGTTTTGGGCGAGTAAGCTCGTTATCCCGGATATGCTTGCCGCGGGAAAAGGTACCATCCTTTTCACCAGCGCGACAGGCGCGTTACGCGGTATGCCAGGCCTGGCATCGTTCTCACCCGGGAAGTTTGGGCTGCGTTCTTTGTGTCAGGTGATTACGCGGGAGTATCAGGCGAAGGGGATACATGCTGTGAATATTATCGTGGATGGGCCGGTTGATGGGAAGTTGATTGGGGGTGTGATGAAGAGGCAGTGGGAACGGACGGGGCAGACGGACAAGGCGGCGGATGTGGAAAGTCATCTTGTTCAACCCAGGGATTTGGCGCATACGTATTGGTTCTTGCATACGCAGCCGAGAAGTACGTGGACGCAGGAGTTGGATGTTAGGGCTATGAAGGAGACGCTTTTTACGAAGCTGTAGTTCAATAGCAAATTGTATCCGCATCTATCGATGTGTTCTGGCACAAACAACTGATGGGGTATAAGATTTCATTGTAATGTGACATCTTCACTGCTTATCTACTGCGAATAACGGGCTCGGTATAGCCCCTTTACTGTGTTACAATACTGCGTTGACTAGACCACGTTGTGGGCTCTGCTTAGGCATCGACTCCAGTCTCTCCCCAAAAGAATGATGTGACATCTTCAAGGTCTACAAGTGAGCTTTCACAGTCTTCTCGGCTTCTTCCGCTTTAGCTTGCTCAGCAAGTACCCTCCGTAGTATCTTGCCCGCATTGCTCTTTGGTATCGCTTCCACAAAGCGGATACCGGCCCTCAACTTCTTGTGCGGCGACACACGCTCGTTGAACCATGATTTTAGCTCTTCTTGCAGCTTCTCATCTCCATTGTACCCCGCTGCCACAACGATATACGCTCTCGGTAACTCCGTTACCTTCGACTCATCGTACACGCCTATCACGGCGACATCAGCGACTGCCGGGTGGCCAATTAAGAGAGCTTCGAGTTGCGCAGGTGCTACCTGGAAGCCGTTGTACTTGATGAGCTCCTTGACGCGGTCGGTGATGTACAGGTTTCCATGTTTATCGAACTTTGCGACATCGCCGGTGTGATACCATCCGTCCCCGTCGAAAGCCGCGGCCGTGGCCTGGGCATTGTTGTAGTATCCTTTGAAGATATTCGGTCCTTTCAAACAAAGCTCACCCTCTTCGCCTATCGCCATTTCCTTTCCATCACTCACGACCTTGGCTGACATGCTGGGCAACAAGCATCCGGATGTGCCCAACGCCGTGGTCCAGGTTTCAATGCGTTGCACGCTCACGGCGGGTGCGGCTTCAGACATACCGTAGACCTGGAGTATTTGAGCGCCGAGGCGCTTGTGTATCGCGGTGATAATCTCGACGGGTATTGGGGCGGCAGAAGAATGCAGGTCGCGCAGGGAAGTGAGGTTGTACTGGTCGACAATGGGGGCCTTTGCCAGAGCGAGTGCGACGGGCGGAACGATGTAAGCGATGGTGACTTTCTCTTTGTCGACCGTCTCGCAGAATCTCTTGAGGTCAAATCCTGACATGATGTGATTGGTCACGCCATAGAAGATGGTGTTTAGCAGTAGTGTAGCAATTCCTGCATCTATCAGCGCATGTTTGATTGTGAACTCGTTGAGCTTACCGTAGATGTGATACATGGGTAGGAAGCCAATACCCGTGTCTGTTTTCCAGTTGGTGTTGTAGCCATTTGCCGTCGTAGCCTGAATGCTGTTTGCTACGACGTTCTCATGCGTCAGCATGACACCCTTTGGCTCGCCAGTGGTTCCAGAAGAGTACACCAGGTACGCCAGATCTTCTTTAGGGTCGATTTTGACTCGGTTCATGCTGAATGACGCGCTTTGCAGAGAAGAGAAGTGCCGAACGGATCCCAATGTCTTGCCATCTCCGACCAGGAGTATCCGAT